GGCAAGATAGTGAGATCCCATCTATGCAAAAAATAAAAATATTAGCCAGCATGTTGTTGCACACCTGTTGCCCTAGCGACTTGGGAGGCTGAGGCAGAAGGATCGCTTGAGCCTGGGAGGTCAAGGCTGCAGTAAGCTGAGATCGCACCACCACACTCCAGCACAGTGACAGAGTGAGACCCTGTCTTAAAAGAAAGAAAAAGTATTCTGGCTGCCAGGCGGAAGACAAATTAAAGGCTCGAGCTGACAGGCCCGTTAGACTTTGGCTTCGGTGGGCTTGGAGCACTAGTGCTTTGCATAGAGCAAGTGCTTCGGTTAACCTTCCAGCCACTCTGTGAGGGACATGCTGTTATTCCCAGTCTTCAAACTAGTCACTGAGGCTCAGAGTGGCTAAATGATTTGCCCCATGTCACATAGCTGAGTGAAGACCTAGGACCCAGGAGGGATGGGGGTTCCAGAGTCCCTGAAACTTCCTGCCCCACCAGCAGTGCCACCTTCTTCCCCTACAAAACCTCCTCCATCACATTCCAGGAGATGCTGAGGCCTGCAGGAAAACCACCACTGGGAGTAAGAGTTCAAAACCCACGGCCAGCAAGGTAGGCGCCTGCATGACTTTCCCAGCCTGGCTGCCTGCCCTGAACAGGCCAGAGCTTGGGCATCCCACACTCAGCCTCTGGAAGGGTCAGCCAGGGATCGGGTTCAATTTCTTTTCCTACAAAGCACAGTCTACCACCTTCTTCTCTCTGCTCCCCCGGCACCCTGGGGTGTTGCCATCCCCGTCTTACAGACAAGAGACTAAGGCTTAGAAGAGCGATGTTGTGTACCCAGAGCCACCGAGCTGGGATTTCAGCCCTTCCCAGCTGTCTCTTTGCTCCCGGTTTGCTTTTGTATAGGTCAAGAATGGTGCTGCTTCCCCGACCAAAAAGAAGGTGGTGGCCAAGGCCAAGGCCAAGGCCCCTAAAGCTGGGCAGGGGCCAAACACCAAGGCTGTTGCTCCTGCTAAGGGCAGTGGGTCCAAGGTGGTACCCGCACACTTGTCCAGGAAGACAGAGGCCCCCAAGGGCCCGAGAAAGGCTGGGCTGCCCATCAAGGCCTCATCATCCAAAGTGTCCAGCTAGAGGGCTGAAGCTTAGGGCTAAAGGCAGGGGTGGAGAGAAACCGAGCCTCTGCCCTAGTTTTTATTCTTCAACAAACCACTGCTCTATTTATTTCATTGTAAGCTATTTATCAATAAAGACTTTTGTTTCTTTTTCCTCACAACTGGTGTGGGTAGAGGCTGAGGTTCAAGGATTTGGCCATTCGGTCCTTCATGAACATCCGCTGAGCACCTGCTGTTTACCTGGTCAATGCTGGGGCTCTGATAGGAGGTTCTGCCTCAGGAATACAGACTGTGTGCTGTATGGGGCTGTGGCATAGATATCAGATATCAGGATGCAAAGGGGCTGGTGGAGGGAGAGTAACCCGGCCCTGAGATCAGGCTGCCAGGAGGAGGTGGCTTTTGATCCTAAAGAATGGGTAGCTGTTGTCAGGCAGATGAGGCAGAGGGTGCCATCTGAGGGGTGGGATGAGAGGAGGGGATCTGTTTAGAAAGAACCCTCTGGCGGTAGAAAGGAAGGATTAGAGTAGCTGAGAAGAGAGGGAGACCTTTCAGCCACTGGTTCCCGAGTGCTCCTGGGCCAGGTGCTGCGACAGCCAACAGGTGTCCTACTCCCCAGCCAGCGCCTGTGCTCTGAAGAGGTAGGGCTGGGCATCCAGCAGGGTGGGTAGGGCTGGCTGCTAGTTTAGACAGCATTGGAGGGGCTGTCTGAGCAAGGACCTGTGTCTGGAGGGGGTACCATTTCAGCAGAAGGAAGAGTGAATGCAAAGGCCCTGGGGTGAGAACATGCTCCTCAGGCTGGGAGCTGCAGGAGAGTCTGTGGCTAGAGCCCAATAAAGAGAAGAACAGGGGTCTCTCCGACAAGGTCCAAGGTGCTTTAAAAACATCCGTGGCACCCCTCACACGGAGAGACAGGCTCTGTGTCCCTGCCCCTTGACTCCAGGCTCTATGCTTGACCAGTAGAATTCAGTGAGAATGATGCTGTGACAATTTCTGGGTCCCACCTTAAGGCAACTTCTACTTCTTGTGTTTGGGGACACTTTTTGTTTTGTGATACTCACTCTTCGAACTTGGCCACCATTCTATGGGAAAGCCCAAGCAGCTTGTGGAGAGGAACTGAGGACTCCAATTTTCAGCCCTCACTGAACTCTCTGACCAGCTGGTACCACGTGCCACCATCTGAATGCAGCGTGTTGGAACTGCGTCTTCCAGCCCTAACTGAGCTGCCCCAGCAGAAACCTGGTGGAACAGGGACAAGCCTTTCCTGCCAAGCCCTGGCCCGATTGCAGATTCGTGGGCAAAATAAGTGACTGCTGTTATTTTAAGCCACTAGGTACTGGGGTGGTGTGTCCTGCAGCAATAGATCTTTCTAAACAGATCCCCCTCCTTTCACCGGAACAAGGGCTGCAGGGTAGATGACGGCTGGATCACGTAGGGTCTTGTAAGCCAAGGGCAAGCACCGTGGGCTTTAATTGTTATAGGCAACCATTAGAGGACGGCAAGCAACAGTCTCTGCAGGGATGTGAGCAGGCAGACAGGCCTGCGAGGAGGCCCCTGCTACAACCCAGATGAAGGGGTGGCCAGCCAGGACATGCTCGTAGAGGAGGGTTAGAAGTGGCAGATTCTGGATCACTGTTGAAGATGGTGTGAACGGGCTCTGCTGATGGATTGGATGTAGGAAGGGTCACTGATGAGTCTGCAGTTTGGGTTCTAGACAGCTAGGTGACTGCTGGGTGACCATTTCCTGAGGTGAGGACTCGGCACGTGCCGGGAGGCTGCCGAGATATGGTCCTGATGAGAGGTGGCAGCCTAGCCACGGAGGACAGAGAGAAGGAAGGGGTGGACTAAAGGGAGTCAAAAACAAACTGCACAGGACTTGAGAAGGGGGCAGACAGGGTGCAAAGGGAAGCAGGCTGCTCAGCATGGGGCATCAGCCGCTCCCTTCCTGCCCCTGCTCCGTCACCCCACCCTCTCCCCTTGGAATCCCGGCTTTGCCTAGATGTGCTGACAGCCTCCCTGGGGTGTCTGTAACGTGGCTGCCAGCAGGACCCAGAAGCGCACCCAGAGCAGATGGCGGAGCGGGGCTGGGCTGCTGCTTCCTGAGGAGAGGTCTGCTCCTGCCACTGCTCATTCACGGCTCGACCCGGTGCTGTGGGAGGCACCGCCAGGCAGACTGCGGTGTGGGGGGCATGAGTGGGCATCTCATGTCCATGAGCTGGGGGCAGGGGTGGGAGGTGTCTAGCGTCCATGAAACCTTGGGCAAGTTACCTCCCTTAGCTGCAATGGCTTCTTTCCTTTTCAAAGGCGTTTAGTGTGAGGATGCTACATCAGGGGTCCCCAGCCTCCTATGACCCTCAAAGGGTAAAAGCCTCCCTCCTGCCCACAGCTGCCAGGTCCTCAGAGCCCCAGATAAGGATTATAGCTGGTTCATGGAAGGTGGTTACCTTCTGTGCTGAGAAACGACTCTGGAAACGAGATTTCCTCCATTTGCAAATACATTTCTAAACTTCAAGGAGGAACTGAATGTTAATCAGACATTAAGACAGGCTGTGGAATATTTAATGACATAGAAAGATGTTACTGACATATTGTCGCATGGGGGAAAATCAGGTTGCAAAATGGTGTGCACACCCTGATCCTGAGTTCACTCCTCGGCCCCGCCCCACTCAAGCACCCCATGCAGGTGGCGTTCTCAGAAACGCTTGCCACGAAGGGTTAGGGCAGCTTTTATTTTCTTCACGCTTTTTGTGCTTCCTACATTTCTCTGGGAACCCTGTATTCATTCCAGAATCACACCCACCCCTCTCACCCTCAAAATGCTATCAAATGTGCTGATAACTTAAATTAGAAAATCTGCTGCTTAATAAGAAGGAATCAATGCTCAGAATAGAAAATGTGAAAGATAAAGACTATCTTTCCACACAGAAGCCACTGCAGGAAAAAGCTATTTTTAAAGCAAAAGGTTGTTTACTTTTCTCCTCACTTTTCTGTTCTCATTAATTTTAGAACTGGTATCTGTGGGATTTTGTTTAAATTTTATGAATCTTTTGTCCTAGTTTTTACTCTTGATAAATACATGTGTAACTATTTTTCCTTCACAAAAGCAAGAAATTAAATGGAGTTGCTGTACCTTTGGAGCTGGCTTTTGAGATCTTTCCCTGGGGTCAGGGAGGAGCCAGCAGGGCTGGAAAGGAATGTCTGCATCAGGTTCATTGTTCTTGCGGGCAGGGGTGAGGAACAGCCTGTACTGTGGGGAACAGTGTTTAGGGTTAAACTGGGCTTGGAGGTTAAACTGCCTGCTTCCTTGTCTGAGAAATGGGCTTAATGCTATGTATTTTTTAAGCTTGATGAGAAATTCAGGGCAAGTTAAGTGTCAGTTCCCTTTCCAGGGTGGTCATCTTTGGCCTCCCCACCCACTTGGGGGACCACTGTGGAGACTCTGGCCTGGAAGGAGCATGGGACCTGGTCCTCATTCTGTCTCTTTCTGGTTGTGTGACCTTGAGAAATGCTTCAGCTGTGCTGAGCCTCAGTTGCTGCGTCTGTCATGTAGGGATGCTAGCACGTTCCTCATGGGCTTGTTAGAGATGAGGTTAGGAGCAGGGCCCACCCAGTTGCAGGCAACACACAGTAGCTGTGAAATCTTCCTGGAGGTCCCCGGGTATCCTCAGAGCTTAAGGAATGGCAGCTCCGGGCCAGGCCCACAGCATGCACGCAGCCTGCACTGTCTCGTTTCATCATCTGGCCTCTGCCTTCTCAGAAGCCAGTCAGGTGCCTGCCCAAACCTCAACAGTGCAGCTGAGACAGAAGGGATGGCAGGCTCCCTCCCTCCTCTCTCTCACAAACTGGTAAAGAAACTGCACGTTCTTCAGCTTGGCTATCTCGGGACAAAGGCTGGAGCCCACAGTAGGTTTGTCTGTCAGGCTTTTATTATAAAGAAGATTCCAGAGTCCCGACGGCCCCCCTCCAGCCCCCATGGGCTCTGAGCCAGTCCCAACACTGGCTGAGTTGGCTGCAAGGGGCTTGCATGGCCCATCGGCCACAGAGGGTCGCTTCTGGCAGGAGTGGAATGGGTGGCGGTCTCAGGCGCCAGGGGCGCTCTGCCAGGTCTGCCCGCTCTCTGGAACAGTCATTTCCAGTGTTGCATGGGGAGCCTCTCGGGACCCCTCCCCGGGTCCTCTGCGCAAGCGGCAGCTATTCACAGTTGGTGCATGATACTTTTTTTAACATATAAAAGCTTTTTAAAAAAAAAAAAAAAAAAAGTGGTGCTATCTTTAGAAACACTTTCAGCAAGATCAAGTAGCCCAGCTACAGCCTTGGTGCATCTTAACCCCTCTCCTTTCCCTGGAGATGGGGCTCCCAGCTCCTGTGCCCCCCGCCCCTCCCCTCCCCTCCCCCCTCCCTGCTCCTGGAGGAGCCCACAGAGCACCCCATGGCACGGGCACTGCCCACTCTACCAACAGCCGCCCAAGCAACAAAAATCTGACACTACTTGAAACTGTCTGGCCAGGATCCTCTTTGGGTGAGGGGGAAGTGGAGATAACATTTTGGGGGTTGAAGCAGAAACCAATCAAAGGTCGGTTCAAGGAGGGCTCCCTGCACCAGTGTGGATGAGGTAGAGTTTCTGGGCTGCAGCCTCCGGGCTGGTGGCCTCCTCTCCCCTTCTTTGTGCTTGGCTGCCTGGATGCGCGGGGCTCTCGGCAGCAGGACCAGCTGGAGGCTGTGAAGCGAGTGGGTGGGCACAGTGCAGGCCATGCTGGGCAGACGGGAGAGTCTGACCAGCTCTCTGGCCCCCGTCCCGGAGACTGATCCGGGGATAGGTGGGAGGGGATGGAGGTGCCCAGGGGTCAGGGCTGGGGCGCCCCTGCCTGGCTAAGAGCAGCCCCTCCTCCTGCCCATGCCCCAGACGTCTCTGCTCAGTATTCCCCAGCGTGAGTCACAGACACGGGGTAGAAGATCAAGTTGAGGCCCAGGGGCGTCCGTTTCTCCCCGCAGCAGCCTGCCCAGCTCTCCATGTGTCTCAGGCCTCACTGTAGCACTCGTAGATGTTGTCCTCCATCAAAGCCACCACTTGCTCAAACTTGTGCTGCAGTTGTGTCCTCCGGGCCGTGGGGTTGGCCTCCAGCGCGGCCATGATCTGAGGGGAGCAGCGGAGTCAGCCGGGCCATGGTGGGTGGCCCTGCCTCAGTTCGTGGGGGAGAACACAGCCCTGAATGTCTACCACAAGTGACATCCGTCCGTGAGGGGCAAGCACCCTGAGATGTGTGTACTTGAGTAGGAAGCTCACCTGCCCCGAGGGCAGATGCCTCACCCTGGGGCACTCACCTGCGGCCGATACCTCTTGGCGTACTTATAAATCTCTGCCATGGCCACATTGGTATTGAACTCATTCTGGTATTTCTATAAGGAGGCAGGACGGGGAGGAGGACGTTAGCCCAGTGGTCAAAGCTGAGCCGGGCCCCAGCAAAGCCAGCTGTTTACACAAATACCCAACTCCACATGGCCCCCACAGCACAGTTCAGTGATAAGGCCCCTCAAGTCCTGCGAAGACAGCTTCCCGGACCCTGACCTCCAAGCTCCTCTCCATCCAGAGGGTGCTCTCCTGCCCCCACGCCTCAAGCTCTGGGAAAATGCGTGACGAATTTGCAGGCTGGCAAGAGGCCACGGCCACTTCTGAAATGCCCGCTGCATTCCCTGCCCTTACTCAGTGGAGGCATTGAGGCCCAGCCCCCCCACCCCCGATCCCTCAGCTCGTCAGGGACCCCCCGCGAGCCGCCGCACCCTCGACTCCTCGGCCAGATGGGCATTCATCTCCTGCTCACTGAGCGGCGTCATGTCCTGGATCTGCTTGTAGTAGCGCTGCACGATCTTCCGGTACTCAGGAATCTCCTTGGCGTAGAGGAGCTTGTTGGTTGGTGAATCCTGGGCAGAGAAAAGCGAGGGTGTTAGATGGCTGCTGAAGAAAGGACGGATCTGGTCGTTTTCTGGATGAGCCCTCATCCCTCCTGCCACATAAGTGACCTTAGCAGGCCCCTGAGGCCCAAAGAGTCTTGCCCGGTCACTGAACGTCTCTGTACTCAGCCGGCCCCAGACCAGGGGCTCCTCACTGTGCTCTGTCTGCCCCGCCTACTTTCCCCAGGATTGTTAGGACAATGACCTGGGGGGAGGGAGGGGCTACTTCTTTCAGGGGGAAAAGCACGGGGGTGCCAGCTCTTCACTGCCCGCAGCCCGTTCCATGTAACAAGGATGTGTCCTTCTCAGGGTGATAGGTCTTGGTGTCTAGGATTTCTGGAAGCCTGAGTGCTGGCTCAGTGGAATGTTTCCCATCACATGCTCCTAACGCCTGAAAGAAGTGCCAAGAACACTCCCAGTTTCTTTGTCAGTCACGGGCATCCTGCCTTCGGAGGCAGTACGTGAGAAGTAGTGGAGCGATGGCATTTTCTCTTTCCCGTGGTCTATCTCTGAAATGCATGGGCTAAATGCAGGGCCACGCACGACCTGGACCAATCCTGCAGTGCCAGCTCTAATGATACAATCTCATCCCTACTCACAGCAAGCGGGTGCTTTCCCGCCTCCCTGTCTTTGCCTGTGCCGTTCCCTCGGTCTGGAAGGCCATCCTCTTTCATCTTCAACCTCTAAAGCCAGACAGAGCCTTGTGTGCCCCCAACCCACCGCATGAATCTCAAGAGCTCCTAGTCACCCGTCACCCCTCTGCCCACTCCTTCACTGAATGCTCGCTTGAATGGCTTTTGACTTTTAGGGTCTGCTGCCCAGAGCCTGGCCTGGTTTTCAGATGATGTTGTGCCTGACTAAGCAGGCTGTCCAAGCTCATACTGGCTTTCCCACACCAGGTTCTCTGGCCTGTTTTCAAAGCCAGTGCCAGGCACAGCCATGGCAGGTGCAGTTGGTCTGCAGCGATACAGAGTTTCTGATGGAAGGTACTGGATTCTAGGTATCTCCCTGTCTGAATGAGTCACTCATCCCATATGCCCTAGACCTGAGCTCTTTCGGTTCCCCTCCCAGGATGATCTCTGAGCTCAGCCTCAGAGTGGAGGAGGCCACCCACGGTCGGCACCCCACTCTGGCCCTGTGCATGGGCCTGGCCTGGTCCTGGGAACAGCCGACCTTGCCCAGCTGCAGGTCAGAGATGGAGCAGGCGTCGATGAAGGCCTGCGCGATGACTGAGAGGCAGGCGTCAATGTGGTCTGTCTTGTCGATGTCAAAGACAAACTGGGGGTTCTTCAGGATGTTCACCCAGAACCGGAGAGGAAGGCTGTGGGGTAGGGTGACAAAGGCAGTGAGGGTAGGGTGGGGTAGGAAGCAGTCAAGGGACAGTCATGGAGAAGACAGCTGACTTTGTCCCTCAAGGGCCTGAGGTTGGGGCCTTGTCACAAGATGTAACCTTTGGGAACCTTTGGGGTGGCAGTGGGGCTGAGAGCCGGGTTTCCTGCTGGAGCAAGGCAGGAGCTGCAGGGCTTAGCGACACCCCCAACCCCCTGCTGATCCTCCAGCCAGGTCCTGGTTCTCATTAGAACCAGGTGCCAGCCCCCGGGCACCCCTGGCTCCTCCCTGAACCCTTGCAGGCAGCAGGAAGTCCAGCATTAGCAGAGCAGCTGTGGCAGGGCTGTGGGGGGCAGCGCCTGGAGCTCTGGCCTTGTCCTCGAGAGGCCAGAGCGGGTAAGCAACACCCCCAACCCCACCTCAGGCCACCCGGTGACTCAGCAGCCTGGGCATGTGCACCCCCAGAGCTCTGGGAAGCTGCTGGCCTGCAGGGAGGCGCCTGGGCTGGTGGTATTCTTCCTGAGGGTCAGGCTGGGTTTCCAGCAACTTCTTGTGGGGGTGTGTGACCCCGACAAGCTAAGAGGTGCCTCGAAGGAGGGCTACCAACTGGGTAAGGGATTCAGATAATGTAGGGCCGAGCCTGGCTCTACTGTCCCAGGCTGTGTGGTCTTGAGCAGGTACTGCTTCTCTGAGCCTCAGTGTGCTCATCTGTGAAGGCACCCGCCTGAGAGGGGTGTGGGAGAATGATAGTAAGGGCAACACCTAGACCATGCTCTGGGCACTCTTCTAGTTAATTCCTACCATTAACAAGGGTTGCATTTTACAGTGGAGGGGAAACTGAAGTACAGGGAGGCTAAGTCACTCATCCAAGAACACACAGCTAGGAAATGGCAGAGGAGGGCTTGAGCCCAAGCAGGTGAGGCCAGAGACTAGACTCTGAATCCCCTGCCACGGGGGCCCCAATGGCACAGTGAAGTCCGCATGGCCCCCGCCCCGCCACCTGTTGGTCTTCCAGATGTGTAGGGTGTCGGGGTCCGAGATTCCCCTCTTCTCAGCCTGTTCCTCCAGGAAGTCGAAAAAGTACTTGACAGCAAGCGGAGGCTTATCTTCACGGATACTCAGAATGGCCTTGAACAGGTCATCCAGAAACTTCTGCAGCGTGCCCTGCGGGGGAGTGGGGTGGCCGCCGTCAGCCCCGGGCCACGTGCAGAGGGCTAGTGGGCACCCTTGGTGGCTCTGCAGAGCTTGAAATGCCCAGGCTGCTGAATGAGGGAGCCACGCGGCATCAGGCTGGTCACCGAGCCTCTCCGGCCTCAGTTAGCATCCGAAATTTGCCTCACAGAGGCGTTGAAAGGACTAATCAAGGCATTGGCACATGTAGTCGAGAACTGGAGGCACCAGAGTATGGGCTGTGGGGTGCCAGCGCTGCCACTGAGCCACGTGGCCTTGGGGACATCACTGACCCCTCTGGGCCACTGCTGTACCCTGTTACGTGGGCTAACATAGAAGTGTCTGTCAGGCATTTTTCCTGGCTGTGAGAAATGCCTCAAGTGGGACCCTAAGCCTTCAGCCTCTTGCCCCTCCAGCCCCACAGGGGAAATAGGAAGAACTCACACCCCTCTTCCAGCCGTGTGTGCACAGCTGGCCCTGAGCAATGACCCTCTGGGGCTGGGGCTGGAGCCTTGTGCCCGCTGCACGGAGGGGAGACTGAAGCCGGACCCACCTTGGTGGAGAGCAGGCGGGTCAGGTAGATTTCCGGGAGCACCTTCTTGCGATGGCTCTGCCGGTGAGACTTCTTGGGCTCCGCCAGCTCGTCCGTGGGCAGCACCTGGGAGGCCGGGCAGTGGTCAGTGTCCGCACCAGGCCCCATCCTCGGCCGCCTGTGGGAGGTCTGGCTCTGCCATGCTTCTTAGCACACAAGGGTTGTGGTTCCCTCCTGATTCTGGGCCCCATCCCTACTCCCCCACCCCCAGCCTTTCTCAGGGCCGGGAGCACTTTTCCCAGAGGCCCAGGGCCACAGAAAGCCAAGGCCACACCCACTGAGGGGCTGGATCCCCTGGGGCCGAGGTTGGGCACTCACCAAATGGAAATACTTCTCTGTGTCCAAGTCTTTCACTGCAGGAGGAAAAACACAATAAATAAACATGGGAGAGGAGGGGAGAGAAACAGCAATGAAGACAGAAAGATGGGGAGAGAAACAGAAGCAGAGACAGAAAGATGGGGAGAGAAACAAACAGAGACAGAGATCCAAAGAGACAGGCAGAGAGAATGAGACAGAGATGCAGAGACTCATGGGGAGACTGAGTCTGGGAGAGACAGAGAGAGAGATAAGTGAGATCCAGAGACACACAGAGAGTGAGACAGAGTGAGGCAGAGAGAGAAAGACACACACACACAGTGACCACAGGGATGGAGGGACTTGGAGGGAGGAACAGCGGTGGAGAGAAACAGAAAGATGCAGCCACGGGGGAGGAGAGGCCTCAGGCAGGCAGAGGTGGCTTCCTTCACCCACCCCACCCCTGAGCCCAGAGCTCCTGCCAGCCCAGACTCCCAGGCTGCTGGGAGAGACCGAGACTCTGCTCTCAACCTCAGGAGGGGACCCCGAGACCCAGAGGAGCCCGGGCTCGCAGGCCTGGCAGCCAGGCGACTGTGCCTGGGGCGTCTGAGGCTGTGGAGGGGGCACTTGAGGCAGGGACATGGCCCAAGGCTGAGACGGGCATGCTGGCCCCCCTTCTGGCCTGGCCACTGCCCAGACCTCCCGGAACTGCAGCCCGCCCTCCCGGGGCCTCTCTCCAGCTGCCGCAGGAAATCAGCTTGAGGAGGCCTGGTGTGGGCCCTGCCCCAGCAGTACTGGGTCAGAGGAGGCTGGCCCCGCCCAGTCTCCACCAAGGAGGCCTCAGCCCAGGCCAGCCGTGACTGTCGGACCCTCAGTTTCCCCACAGGGGCATGGGATGGAAGCCCCTGTCCACATGCAGTCTAGGCTTCCTTCCCACGTGCACCCGCACTACCTCGGCCCAGTGTGTTGTCCTTCTTGTCTATGAGACTCATGGCCAGCGAGGCACCTTCGGGGATCTGATGGGAGGGGAGAGGCCGAGGTCAGAGGCTGGAGGTCGGGGTGGGGGCATGAGGGTGGGGAAGCAGGGCAGGGGGGCAGGGCTGCACCTTGTAATGGGCCAACGTGTTAAGCTTCTTGCGACCGTCTTCCACCACGGAGGTGTCGTCCAGGTCCCGAAGGATGTAGCTCTGTGTGCTGGAGGCGAACCACTCTGGGGGACAAGGAGCAGGCCATCAGGGTCTGGGCAGGGAGCTGGGCCTGAGGGGTGGTTACTGGCCCAGCCACAAGGGAGAGGCCTCTCGCTTTCTCCATGGAAAATGAGGAAAGCCATACCTCTCTCTGAGCCCCCATTTTCCCATCCATAAAACGGAGAGGGCAGGAAAGAGCTGGGGGAGAGAATGTGAGGGTACACAGTGAAGGTGCCAGGGTGGAGGGCACAGAGGAGGAGCTCTGGAAATGGCCTTGTCTGCAGGGTTCTTAACGTTACAATTGCTGATGAAACCCTTGGCCTAACCAAGAATCCTATAAAACCCACTCCAGGCCCCACGTGGTGGCTCACACCTGTAATCCCAGCACTTTGGGAGGCTGAGGCAGGAGGATCGCTTGAGCCCAGGAGTTCAAGACCAGCCTGGGCAGCATAGCATGACACTATCTTTACAAAAAGTAAAATTAGCAGGCCAGGCGCGGTGGCTCACGCCTGTAATCCCAGCACTTTGGAAGGCCGAGGCGGGCGGATCACAAGGTCAGGAGATCGAGACCATGGTGAAACCCCGTC